AAAACACTTTCTTTAATTTACTCAAGAAAGTAAATATAAAAAATAATTTTAAATATAAAACTTATATTCTTTAGCATTTGATGATTCTTTAACAAAAATTATAAAACTAAATACTAAATAGTTATACAATTCTTGAACAGAATAAAATCCCAGATAAGTAGAAGTTAGATCAAATATACTTAATACCAAAAAATAGTTTTTGGGAGTATAACTTAAGCCACACTAGACCAATCGTATTATTAAAAACATGTAGAAAAATCTTGACATGAGTTCTACAAATAAGATTAGATAAAGTACTAAGTATGAACAATATACTCAAGGGTGTGAACTTTGTAGGATTGTCTGAGGAAAGTACATTTACTCCTATTCACATAATGAACAATATAATAGAAGAAGCATTAGAGAGCTTTGGATTATATATCAAGATATGAAAAAAGCATTTGATTCAGTTAGCATAGTATCACTTAAAAAAGCACTAGAAAGAGTAAAATTACTGGCAAATTTAATAGAAATAATTATGAAACTATATGAGAACAAGAAGCTTAGTATTATAACAGAGTTTGGTAATACAGAATTTATTGAAGCTAGTAATAGAATAGATCAGAGAGAGATCTTATCTCCCCTGGTATGGAGAATCTTTTATGACCCTTTACTGTGTAGAATACAAGAAACAAAATTAGGGTATTAAATGCAAAGCTTTAACTTATACAGAGATATAGATAATACTAAAGCAAACATAAGAGTAGGAGTATTAGTATACATGGATGATACAACTTGGCTAACAAGTAATCAAGAAGATATGCAAAAGACGATTGATATCACTCAAGAATTCTATAAATTAAATGATATTGAAATAAGCCCAAACAAAACTAAACTTGTAGTTATAAAGCTAGAAAGAAAAAAGAATATAAAAGACCTTTCAGTATGTGTAGGCAATACAAATACTAAAATTATAGTGAAAACCCCCAAAGAAGCTACATGTTTTCTTGGGGTATAGATGTTAGTCAATAAGCAAAAACAGTCAGACATATTCAAAGCAAGAAGTGAAGTAGGCAAGATCACTGGCTTACTTAATATAAACAATTGTTCTTAAGTCAGATTATATACGTAAACAATGTAGTATTGATACTCATTCTGGAGTACAGGCTTATGATCTCATGTCTTACTAAAGCACAATGTGAGAGAATACATCAACCAATGATAAGGTTAACTAAGTAGAAAATGTTAATGTTTTCTACAACAGCAAATATAATAATAAAGCATTCTGAAATAACTAACCTTAAGAGTTTCTGGAATGGACACATAGAGCACTATATTTCAGAATTGCTAGTTAGATTAAACACACCAGGCTTACTTGAGGAGTCAACAGTAAGAAGACTTAGGCAGAGTCAGCAAAATATAGAATCAACCAAATGTATCTTGACAAATTGAGTAGTTTTAGAAAGAGCAGAAATAAAGAGCCGCAACTTGGAGTTAAATATGTTATAGCAAGCCAAGGCACTTGGCTTAATAATACAAGAAAATAAGATCACGAAAAGCTAGAACATTGATATAACCCAGAAGACCAATGATATTGAAATTACAAAGGTTCTCAGAAAAATAGGTTTGACATATGAAGAAATAAAAGCAAGCAAGCTAGGGCTCTAGCTAATATCACAGCTCATATCAAAAGATGGCAAGACAATGCACACATGGGGACAAATTAAATTAGTATGTGGTGCGGAATTAAGAGAAAAAAAAGCAAGATGGTTTAGAGATGTTAGCTGATCCAAAAACATGAGAAGTCAAACCCAAATACAAAATTGAATCAATCAACCCTAATGCACTACATATTGGAACAAGAGCTTTGAACAAGGACAAGAAAACAAAAGAATAGGTAGTGTAGAAAGAGGAAGGACATAATGAATTTAGTATAGGAAAAATCGAGAAAAAAGAAAACAATTATATAGAAGTAAAGAAATATAAGGAGGTAACATACTGGCAACAAAATGAAAAACAACAAAGGCTAGAAGTTGATACAACATGCGAAAGTCTTGTAGTCAAGTGCAGAGAACTTAGAGATATATCAAATTTAGTTCGAAAAGCAGGAAATGAAGCAAAATTGCTTTTTGAAAAGAAAAACATAGAAGATTTTGTTGAGAAGAGTAGGAAAAAAGAGCTAGTTAACAAAAGAGAATTAAAGAAGCTGAAAGAGAAAGAAAAAGTGGTTATAAAATATGAAAGCTGGGAGATGGTCCTGATAAATAGAATTGTTGAGAATAATAAAATTAGAAAAAATATATTAGAAAGTTTAAAACAGAATAGAGAAATAAGTAGTTTATTTTTTATACAAATGGCTCACTCGGTACCTCAGAAAGAGAAGGAGAATTAGTAATGGGTTGTGGCATAGTACAGATCACAGAGACAGGACACTTATTATGTCAATTTTCATGTGCAACAAAGAAATGGTTCTCCTTAACAAGAGCAAAATTGGTAGCAATCCTATATATGCTCCTAATTACACCTACCAAAAGAAAAATATAAATTAGAACGGATAGCAAAGCAGCAATATTGGTAATCAAAAGAGGTCTAGAAATAAATAAGATAAGGCAATGACTCAGAGTTAAAAACATTGGTCTTGTTGCAACTATCGTAGAAGTACTAAAGACAAAAAAGCTAAATGTTCTTTTTACAAAGATAAAAGAGTATTCAGGTGATATATTTAATGATCTTGCAGATCTAAAAGCAAAAGAAGGCACCAAGTCAGTAGAGTATTTAACTCCAAGAACAATAGATACAAAGTATCATAAGTACAAATACATATAGGAAGGAGAAATAGTCAAAAAGCCAATTTGCTCTTTTACCAAGCTTTTGGGAAAGATTCTAACTAAAGCTAAATGAACATTTGTATATAGCACACATAACAAGACCCACCAGGAAAGAAAAATCTTCAATTCTGGGATATTCTTCATGCACTACTAAAGGGTGGAACAAGGCAACAAAATTACACTTTTAAGTCTAATACAGTATAGCTCTTTGGAATAAAATATATAAATAATCTGCTTCTAGTTCTAATAAAGCTCAATTAAAGAAGACTCGAAACATATAAAACAGATATTTGTATTACTATATATGTAAGAAGAAGAAAGAGGATGTAGAATATCTTGTAAGCTGCGAAGTATTTTTAAATTTGCTCTGCGATATAGAGGAACAAGTAGTAAAGACAACTCTTGTAGAAATGAAAGACATACAAGATTTAGAGAAAAAAAAGAAAACTATATTAATAATGTTAAGAAAGGGAAATCAAGCAAAAGAATTACGCAGAAGAGAAAGATGGATCAGAGGCCTTATTACAAAAGAAAACTTTGAAGAGCTTAGACCCACGTTTAGCTCCAACAACCAAACAAAGAGCTTTTTAGCAGCACTATAGAAGAACTGGATAAACAAAGTTTATGAAAGAATATGGGTCGCAAGATGTAAACTCATACAAGAATGAAAAAAGGAAAATGGCATTACAGCTAAAGAAAAGAGGAGATCTCACAAGAAAACAAAGGAAAAAAAAAAAAGAACAAAGAAGAAGGCAAATTTTCAAATGAAAGAACTCCTCCAGACAAACATGTTAATGTATAAAGAAAAAAGAGAGGAGAATTCAAGATGTGAAATAGTATATAAAATAACTAAGAAAAAATTGTTAGGTTGGATTGCTGAAGGGAAATGTGCAGATTGGTGGAAAATGAATATGTAGTTTTGACAGGCGGTAAAAACTAGCTGTTAACGTATTATTGAAGCCAAATTTAGGATAAGATAATACAGAGGCAAATCTTACTATAGCAGGTTGCACATAGGTACTTATTGAGCAACCAGTGAGCTTTTACTTGTAATTTAGGTACCAAAGAGATTAACTCTTCAGAAAATTTTAATAGTTTACAAAGCCTAATAAAGTGAAGGCAAGACTGCCGAATTCATTAAAAAAAAAAATAAAAAATAAAAAAAAAATACTTTTTTTATGTTCTTTAAGTCAAATGACTGACTTACTTAATACAATAATATAATTGGCTAAAGCAATCCTTTGAAAATTAAAGAAGGTTCTACTAAGTAAGGACTCTTTAAAATCTTAACAGTAGTTAAATTATCCAAATCGGCATAGTAGATCCCAAAATACTTGGAGTTAAAGGTGCAAACATAGGGATCTGCAAAGTCACTATTATACAAAAAACAATTATTTATTAGACGATTGTTCTTTGTGTAACAATAACTTTGCAGATCCCAAGTATCTTGAAATCTACCAAGCCAATTTGAATGATTTACTGTATTTTTGCGACATGTGTACTTGGGATATTCCCCTAGTTTATATCATATACCCAGGTACTCATGTGAGGGACATACCATATAAATACTTCTATGTTTTTAATATGTTTTACTATTACATTTCCAGGTACATAAGTAAAATACTCTCACACTTATATACCTGGGTATAAATCAAGATTTAGCATCAAAAATTACTACAGGGTACAGCTCACAGGGAGTACACATGTTACAGAAATACAGTAACTACTATTGAGATCCTAAAAACCTTCTCTACAAGTTTTCTTAAGACCAGAAGAGATCTTTACTTCGTAGAACCTTCTTTAATTTTCAAAGGATTGCTTTAGCCAATCATATTATTGCTTTAATTTTACAGAGGTTGTAAAGACAAAAAATATACCAACTATAGAGCAAGTTCCTTTTAAAACTACTTGGTGTTTAGTTCTATAACTTTTGTTAAAAGATTATCAAATGCTAAAATTATTTTTTATATTTACTTTCTTGAGTAAATTAAAGAAAAATGTTTTTTTTTGTCAAATTTTACATATAAATTTGGGTGAGTCAACTCATTTGGGGGACATGTCCTGTGTCTGATATGAAAAAATTTAGAATTGTAATTTAACATAAGCCCGAAATTTGATGTAAATAGGTTACGACGATGATAATTTATACTTTAATGCTATAAAAGTTATTTCATATTGGAATGATTAAATCATTTAAAGTCGACTCTCGACTTCTACTATTGAAGAAGGTTCCATCCATATTTTTTCCCCATCAAATGCTGCTTGTAAAACATCATAAACATTATCAGCGTACACGATTCTAATGTTTTCCTTTACATTTACTGGTACATCTCCGTCAACATCTTTACGATTTCGTGAAGGCAGGATAACTTTATTAATGCCAGCACGATGTGCTGCAATAATTTTTTCTTTAATACCTCCTACGGGGAGCACTTGACCACGTAATGTAATTTCACCAGTCATAGCTGTTTTAGAAGGTACACATCTATGTGTAAATAAGGAAACAAGAGCTGTTATTAAGGCGACACCCGCAGATGGACCATCTTTCGGTACTGCACCAGAAGGAAAATGTATGTGAATATCTTTTTGAGAGAAGAATGTAGATTCTGTAGATGCCGTCGTAATTCCCAATTGGAATGAATGTGCCCGTACCCACGAAATAGAGATTTGAGCGGATTCCTTAATAACTTCGCCCAATTTGCCTTTTAAATAAAACAGTATTAATAACTAGGACGGTATTCTCAACCTGTAAACGACAGAAGAATAAATTAATGATTAATGGGAAAGCATTTACCTGTCAACTGAAGATTGCCTTTTCCGGTCATTTGAGTAGCTTCAATGAACAAAATACTGCCAGAACCGGTTGCTGTCCATGCTAGACCTGTGACAACACCAGGTTTTGTCATACGTTCAGCTATATCATCATCAAATTTTTCCACCTTTAGTATAAAAAATTTAGTAAATACTCTCGGTAAAGATGTAATAAATGACCTGCGTATAGATAATTCTCACCCCAAGAATAGTCACTATGTCATTTATAGTAACTTCTGAACGATATGTATTCGTTTTTCCATTATCATTTGCATTAGCATATTCTACTGCCTTAGCTCTACATATTCCGGCAATCTCTCTCTCCAAGTTCCTAACACCGGCTTCACGAGTATAACCAGTAGCAATTTTTAGCAAGGCTTCATCCGAAATTTTAACAAATTCGGGCTTTATGCCATGAGATGCTATTTGTTTTGGTAATAAATGTCGTTTAGCAATATGAAGTTTCTCTTCAAATGTATAGCCAGAAATCCTGATCAGTTCCATTCGATCAAGTAATGGGGGTAATATAGGATCGACTTGGTTAGCTGTAGCAATAAAGAGAACTTTAGATAGATCCAGTGGGACATTGAGATAATGATCGTTAAAAGCATTGTTTTGCTCTGGATCAAGTACTTCCAATAGTGCAGCAGATGGATCTCCATGCAGACTCAAATGCCCTACTTTATCAATTTCATCTGTATATAATTATCGGTTAATCACGAAATTAAATCAACGAAAGTTTTAATGTTTAATGATTAATTATATGAATAAAGTGGAAGCTAAAGCATACCAAGTAAAAAGACAGGATTATTGACTCCTACTCTCCTAAGTCCTTGTGCTATAAGTCCAGGCATGGCACCTAGGTAGGTTCGACGATGTCCACGAATTTCAGCCTCATCCCTGACACCTCCCAGAGAAATTCTATGAAATTTACGACCAAGTGCATTGGCAATGCTTTTCCCTAGCGATGTTTTACCGACGCCAGGCGGACCTAACAAACATAGAATCGGTCCCTTCATATCACCCTTCAGTTTTAATACAGCAAGAAATTCCAATATGCGTTTCTTTACTTTTTCAAGACCATAATGATCCTCTTCAAGTTGTGAACGTGCTTTATCAATGTCCAATGTATCGGATGTACCTTTACTCCATGGAATTTCAGAGAGCCATTCGAGATAAGTACGAACTATTTGATATTCAGCTTGTGTCGGGTGCATACGTTTAAGCCGCTTTAATTCTCGCTGAGATGCTTTATCAGCTATTATGATTTAAGTTAAATAAAATAGTAGAACATAATAAGAATTTTTTTTTTATATTACATAACGAAAAAAAACAATTTTACGTAAAGTGTATGATACGTCACCATCTGGTGTTAGTCCAGCCTCTTGTAATCGTCTCGTCAAATCTGCAACATCATCTTCTTCAGCGGATGTATCATCACGTTCACCCAATTCTTCTTTAATGGCATTAAGCTATGTAATAACACGTTTATAACATCATAATTAACAACGGAAACAATGGACTCTAAGTAATGCGCATAATTAAATTTCCGAGTTTACTTGTTGTCTTAAATAGAATTCTTTATGCTTCTTATCAAGCTTTCCTTCGACAGTGGAATGAATTTTTTGTGTAATTTTTAGTATCTATAATATAAGAAAAAAACATCACTACTTAATTACATTTATATATTGGCAGAATGGTGTGCAATGTAATAACTGTACATGTATTTGTCTAGTCAAGATATCTATGGCAGCAGTCATTCTGCTTTTTAAATCGGGAGCATCTAAAATTTTCTAAGCAAATGATATTAATATCATAACATAGTATAAACCAGTATAAACCACGTAAAAAGGTGTCAGGGTTACCAATTGTTCTTCATAAGGGGGTTCGATCGTGCTGACCAATAGATCTGCCAATGATCCAGGGGAAGCACCATCGATGAATTTCTGAAGCTGCGTTAGCATTTGTACAGGAAGCTTTAAATCTTGTAAAATAATAAAAAGTTCGCGGCCAGTTGACTTTAAGGAAATGGCTAAATCTTGCAATTCTTGATCGTCATTTGGTATAACTTAATTAAATGTATGAACAAGAATTTATACTGGTAAGTTGCTTTTTTCGTGCAATAAACTTTTATGAGAGCAGTAAAGAATTAGGATGTCCTCGATACGAACTGGCGATGTACAATACCTGGTTCTGGATATACAGTTACCTCAGCTTCGAGGTAGGGCTTACCAAAGACGTACTGGTCGATGTGTATTCGAGCAATACCTAGATTTATGAATATGGTTAGCAGAGCGATTGTAATTATTTAACAAATTTTTTCTAGTTTTATACCTTCCACAACTACGAAAAATCTGCCCCCAATTCCCCCGACCGATCTTTCCAGACGAATGATACGTGCTACACAGCCATATTCATGTAATTCTGAAGTGAGTGTTGATTGATTGGAAGTTTCCTCGGTTACTTTCTTTGAAGAAGTGTTAATTTGCTCTGAATTTGTTGAATTTTGTGCAGTAGGTACTGGAGGCTTAACTGGAACGCACCCAACGAAGTATTTAGAATCTTTAGTATCTACAGATTTATAAATTCTTTGCAAAAGTTGAGCCGCCGTATCTTTACGGCCAATTTGGAGAGGAAGGGCAGTGCCAGGAAATAATACTTTGTTTTTAATGGGGACGATCGGTAATATCTTTGGAATTTGTGCAGTATTCGAATTCATCTTATCTGGGAGAAAAAAGTGAAAAATTTCCGATTATCTCTCATAACAAAAATGGTACGTAGTGACACAGTTTTCATTGAATAGTTTATTATGACATTATTATTTTTGTTACACACTTATTTATTTCCTTATTTTACCAATTTCATTATGCTTTAATTTTTGATAATCTTTATCAAGTCGATAACGCTTGGCAATTTGTGGCTTAGCTCAATTGAATAAAAAACTTTGTGATTTTTATGAAGCATTCAGTGTGCCATTCAGTCATTATTCGATCATCTGATCCACTTCGCGGATTTCTTATTATATACTTCTATTAGGGATGTTAATGGTTGATCCAGTCCAATTTGATTTTATAAATCAGATTAAAACTAAACCAGATAAAAAAAAAACT